AAAGTTTTTCTGTTTTAAATCCTATATAGAGACCCTCTGTTCCCATATCACCAAACCCCAAACCAAAAATCTGCAAAAATAACTTAAGTATTTAAAAAATGACAAAAAAAGAGTAATATACATCCTCAACCGGACCAAAATATAAAACAGTTATTTGTGAATTATGAAACACTACTAGGTCTATGTCTCTCTGTTCTAATTGCCTTTTAGTAAATGATTTAATAATTGATCCACATATTGATTCATTCTGCCTTACAGAGGCCTGGTTACAACAGGATGATTATGTTAGTTAAATGAATCAACACTCCTGAGTTATACCAATGTCAGAATCCTCGAAGTACAGGCCGAGGAGGAGTAGCAGCAGCAATCTTCCACTCCAGCTTATTAATCAACCATAGACACAGAAAGAGTTTATATTCATTTAAAAGCCAAAGACTTGGCCTTGTACACCATATACCATAATTAGAAAATGGCAAAAAATAGTTTGGTCCCACATTCGCTGTTGTGATTGGTGTGGGGGTAGGGATAGGCTTGGGGCGTCGGGGGATTCCCCAGGAGCGTCTTCCTTGGAGGGCTCAATCCGGGGTTGCGGTCATGGCCTGTTAAGGGCTCTTAGGTGATGGTTTCCTCGTGGCTGCGTGCAGCGGGGATAGGGGAGGGTCTGTGCTGACGGACATGGGTTACTGACCTGGTAGCCTGGCTGCCCCTAGGTGGGTCCGGGGTGGGCATGGGGTTCTGGGGGTGCTCCGTCTCCAGGCCGGGACCCTGGCTGGGCCTTGGGAGCTTGTGTCCTGGTTGGTGTGTCACCGGGGTTGTGGGCGGGTGGGCATATGGGAGCTCAGCCCTGGTGCGGGTTGCCACCGGTGCATCAAGCCACCTGAGGGTCTCTTTAACTGATGGGAGAGGCTGTTACATCTTTGCAGGAGGTCTCCTCTCTCCAGGAACTCACTCTGCAGGTGGGGGAGAGATATAAGAGAGGTGGAGGAAGAACTCAGCCTGGGTGTCTATTGTCTTGTTTATTTATTTATTTAGGACAGTGCATGTTAATGAACATAAATGTAAAAAAAAAAAAATTACATGAATGTAAACATACCAGATTATAGCCAAGGGCTAATTCCCATCTGTTGTCCTTAAGCATAAAAATAAGACATAATAATTCATAAAAAATTCATCATTCATTCATAATAAAAACTCCATCACCAAACTTACACATACACACCATTGTGTAGTCTGGGAGATGAGTGGATGATGGGGTGGGTGCAGTTTTCTCTGTGGTGGGGTTGGATGGGCTGCCCCTGCTGACCTGGGCCCCAGTCCGGATGGGCCTGGGCCCCCTTGCCCTGGTAGGTTCCAGAGTGTGGGGGTGCCTACTGGGGTCAGCGGGGGAGCTAGCCCCCAGGGAGGGGCCTCTGTCCCCTTCTGGCTGCCTGTGCCACAATTTTATCTCACAACTTAGACATTCACATTACTCACACTCTCATTACACATACATATAGGACCTTGGGGGTGGGCACGCTACACGGCATCCAGAAGACCGTCAGGGTGTACGACCTCACCTCTGGCGCCGTTGCCCACCTCTCAATTTTAAATACACGTAGACATTGAGGGCTATCGGGAGGGGCTATGCGCTTACCTGCTGCTCTCTGGCAGGTAGCTCCATGCCCTCCTGGGTATTAAATTCACCTTAGAACACACATGCATCAACACTACATATGAGCGGGCGGAGGGAGGTTTGGAGTCTTCATACACCCCAATTCTCTGTTGCCTGTTGGGGCGGGGGGCTGGGAGGAGGAGTTGGCCATCCGATTGGGGTCTGGAATGTGGGGCCTCCCTGCTGCTGCGGAGTCCGGGTGGTCTGCTTCTCTCCACCCCAGGGAAGAGGGTAACACTACCTGGGTCTGGGTGCAGTTTCCCCCTCTAGGGGCAAGAGTACCTAGACCTGGGGTATAGAGTGCGCTTGGGGAGTGTGATTGTGTGTACAGTGTCTATTTATGTCTGTCTCCACATTGGATGAGTGCTGAGTATTTGCATATGAGAGCATGAGGGTGGGAATGGATGTTCGTATCTGTGTGTGCCTGTTTGTCTGTGTCCATATGTCAGGTCAGGTATCAGATGCCACCTCTCTAGGGACTATCATCCACTGATCCACTAAATCAGTTTCTATCTGATTTCTGGCACTATATAAATAAAATTGAATTGAAGTGATCTTTTTGAAATCACAATAGAATAGCATTTTATTTAGACAGAGACATTAAATAATAATATTTAATATCAAATCTTAGTTTGGGGAACTGATCCCTGCAAGCATCAAAGTTTAACTTTTTCAGCCCAATTATTTAAGATTTTAAATTATAAAAATCTTTAAGATTTTTATCTTTTGCTTTTTTATCGAAAGGAGACATGTCCAAAAAAAAAAAAAAAAAAAAAAGACCAGTAGCTAAACAGAAAAGGTACTGATCCTTCACAGGTTCAAAAGCATTATTTTATGGCACAGATCATGTAAGCTTCAGTGAAGAGACACAATACTCGATCACTTCTACATCATTTAAAAGTAGAATGGGAGGGAGAGCCTTCAGTTTTCAGGCCCCTCTTCTGTGGAACCAGCTTCCAGTTTGGATTCGGGAGACAGACACTATCTCTACTTTTAAGATTAGGCTTAAAACTTTCCTTTTTGCTAAAGCATATAGTTAGGGCTGGACCAGGTGACCCTGAACCCCTCTTAGTTATGCTGCAATAGACTTAGGCTGCCGGGGGATTCCCATGATGCATTGAGTTTTTCCTTTCCAGTCACCTTTCTCACTCACTATGTATTACAGTTTTTGCCCGTTGCCTGAACACATTTTGCAAAACCCCGCTCGCTGTGCCAAAACTGTACACACAAGTACACATGACACAACACTGGAAATATACCATTCACATCTGTGCCAAATTGGAACTCTACTCCCAAACCTAAACTCTGCTGTCAAACCTAACATTCCTTTGTCAAAATGTAACTCTGTTGACAAAATGACACATACCTGCACCATATGCAAACACTCACAGATCAGGGGGAACACACTAGTCTGCTGTACATAAAACACTGCAGTCCTTGATTCCCATTGTTTATTCAGAAGGCACATTTACAGGAGACACATTTCCAAACAACCATAAACGCAAATAGACCTACTCAATACTGTACATTGCAGTACCATGAATACAGGTACAGCAAATAAAACAACAACAACACAATAGTACTGCAATAGAAAAAACACTATACTGTAAACACAAAAAACCATGACAATTGTGCATAAGTGGGCTCATGGATCCCGCCGTCTGTTGGGGTCTGGCCACAGGACCTCATCAACATCGCAAGCAATGTCCTCTCCCGCTAGGCACCGGGGTAAATATCCTCTTGCTCTCCCTCCATCCATGCTTGCAAAGTTCTTGGAATGGCTACGCTGAGGGCTTTTTGTAGTTGGCTAATTGGTGTTCGTTTTGCAAGTAGGTGCCTTCAGGTGAGTGGTTGCAATTACCGATGTGTTTTGTATTTTGGATACATGTGTTTTCCGAATGGCACCCTGAGATTTCATTTTGTGAGCGAAGTGTCTTATGTATGAAATAGAGTGTAGCATGCAGGACCATGTGTGTTGCATGAGGGAGTAGGTGTGTTGCATAATTGGTACTGGGGTGCAAAGCAGCGCTTTTGTTTAAGGTAGGGGTACATGTGTTTGAGGTATGGTAACAACAGCTTCAAGTTGTGTTACTTTAGTCTAAGCATGGGTTTATAGTGTTCAAGCAACGAGCAAAAACTGTAATAGACCTCTCTGCATTGAATCATATCTGTTATTAACCTCTGTCTCTCTTCCACAGCATGTCTTTTATCCTGTCTTCCTTCTCTCACCCCAACCGGTCGCAGCAGATGGCCGCCCCTCCCTGAGCCTGGTTCTGCCGGAGGTTTCTTCCTGTTAAAAGGGAGTTTTTCCTTCCCACTGTCGCCAAAGTGCTTGCTCATAGGGGGTCATATGATTGTTGGGTTTTTCTCTGTATCTATGAAGCGCCTTGAGGCGACTTTTGTTGTGATTTGGCGCTATATAAATAAAATTGAATTGAATTGAATTGAATCTTTTACACTATACAGTCTATTTCCTTAAGCCATTCACTGACAAAAAATAAGCATCTTCTTTAGGAACTAGTCTTCTTAATCTTTTGATCTTTTAATTGTTGCCTTGCATCGTTTAATTATGGCATTAATCAAAAAAGCTATTTATTTTAACTTTTCACTTAATTAAGCACAGCAAGATTGGTGAATTCTCTCAAATGTCAGTTCTTTATCTTTCTCAAGGCTCACTTTATTGCAGACACTGCATTTTGCATGCAGAGAATATGTACATGTAGAAACTGCCTTGTGTGTGTGTGTGTGTGTGTGTGTGTGTGTGTGTGTGTGTGTGTGTGCGTGTGTGTGTGGGGTGACATGTTTGGTTGTGTGATGGAAACTGGTATAAATTAAAGAGAAGCTGATTAACCGATGTTGACATTAATGGTGGAATCCATGACTGAAACAACACGTGGCCTACCTCTGACACAGATGAGCCTTTGGGGTTTATCAATCAGTATGTTGAATCAATAATAGCTAAATATAGAACAAAAGGTGGAGGGGTAGGAGGAGTGGGGCTTGTTAGTCAGTTTTCAGGATTTTGACCACTCTCATTACTTATTATTAACCTGCTGTAACCATATAGTACAATCGTAGGCTAAAGGCAATTGTTTCATCTTATTTATTTGCTTTATTTTATTTATGCTTTATGCTCAAAACACACACACATATACACACAGACAATGGTTGCGCTGCTGTGCAACCACAGTATACAGACAAACATTTTTCCATTCTCTTTTAGATAAAAAAACTTTAGTATGCATCAGTGTGTAAAGACTTTTTAAATCCACAACATGACTGTATTACACAAGAAAAAATGAACAATGGATTATTAATTATTCACCTTTTCTCTCATTTTGTCTTCTAGTCATCGGGCACCAGTGTGGTGGTGGACATCGCAGTGATGGGTGAGGCTCATGGTTTGATCTCAGACCTGCTGGCAGACCCATCATTGCCCCCTAACACCTGCAGCTCTCTGAAGGCTGTCAGCAATCTCCTCAGCACCCAGATCAACCTCCAGCCACTCCACCGACCTCGCACCCCTGCAGACACCCACACCTGCTCTGACTCTGAAGATGGGCCAGAAAAAACAGAGAGACTCGCTATTCCAAAGGTTATTGCTTGTCTTTCTAGAAAAGTTGAGTTTGTGTAGTTCTGGCTGTTTTGTGGAATTTTACTTACAGCTAAAAACAAAGTTTTGTCTGGTCTTCCAAAAGGAGAAGAAGAATCACTACTATTCAGTGTAAGATTTACAGTTATTGTAGATACATATGTTTAACTGTTTAGTGTGCTAGGCAAAGCAGATAAACGTGAATAGAAAAGTCAGTGCCAGTGCAAATTGTAGACACAGTTCTAAACCATAAATGTTAAAAGTAGGCTCAGTGGCTCACACAGTTTTTAGGTTACTGTTTTGAACACTTGTGTTTGTCCTGTTGCCGTCTTGTTTTTCTGCTTTTTATTTTAACTGGTTGTGACAATGCTTGGATAAAATATAAAAATATGTATTCCCCAAAGGTTGGTAAAAACTTCCTTTTTTACTTTAGTCGCATATTTATATTTTTTACAGATTTGTCTACAAACACTGCTCTCCAAGCTGTGAAACGTGCAAGCTAGAAATGGAGACATGTTTTTGAAACAGGCTGCAGAGCTGAGCTATAACTGTTTACTTTGAAGGCAAAGCTTGTTCATTTCTAATTTGCGTCACATATTTTCAAGTTTTGCATACCACTTGGTTAGTAATTTGCAGGTTTTTGTAGACAAACATGAATAATGACAGGCAACCATGGCAACCTGCTAGCAACAAAACCAATCAGGGAGCAGTTTGTGGTGCAGCACCTTATTGCAACTAGTTTTACCAAGCAACAGCCAGAAAACTTTGGGAAACACATTTTTCCATAGGAACCAGTGCTGAACCAATAGTCAGCTCAATGTGTGAATAATCTCACACGAGAAACCTCAGTTAGCTAATGCTAGCTAAGTAGCATGCATAGATAAAAGTGTGGGGTTTTCTTTCTTTTTTTTCCTTTTTTATCTTTGTTGTGATCGTAGTTTTGGGTAGAACGGGACTAAAACAAAAGTAATGACAGAAAAAATTAACAGCCTCCAGCTTTGGGTGTGTGTTTTAGTACAACCAAATGCTAAACTATGGCGTTATTTTTGTGCCACTATTCTGAGCGCACGTAAAAATAAAAAAAAATGGAGCGCATGTAAAAACATTTTGCAGGTGCATGTGTTGCATTTTGAGGAGAAATTTATTTTGAGCAAAGAAAAGCTAAATTTGAGTGAACAAAATTAATTGCTGCGTGCAAAAAATGTATTTTAGTGTTTGCTATTATCCATACACACACACACAATAGCAGCCCCTCTCGCTCAGTTTTTGCATTTGCGCTTGCTCGCAATGTGTTGCTTGCGCTCTCAACATTTCTTCCCGTGCGCGTTCAACTGTTTCTGTACACAGTTATATTTGTGCCACAAAACCAGCCAGTCACAGACTTGGATGCAAAAAAAAAATCGGATTGGTCTCAGACTGAAGAAGTCACTTCAGTCACAAAAGTCACTTGGATAAACTTTTGGAGATTTACTTTCCTGGATGATTAAGAATGCATCAAGACATATATATGTATGATTTGTATCACCTTCATGTTTCCCTCTCACCACATATCCAAACCAATATCATGACCAGCAGCTTTTACAGCTGTGACTCCAGCAAACATCAGCTGATACTAGAAAGTAATTAAATAAATTCTAACAACAGCTGATCAAGCTTGAACGTGCTGATGTTGTTTAGCGCAAAATCCGCTGGTTTCCTCTTTCTGTCGCAAAGTGGGCGATAAACAAAGAAGAGAGACAGGACTTGTGGCAGAAAAGCCAATCAGCTGATCATTGATCAGTTTCATGATTGAAGTAGCAACAGGAGAGGGAGGGGAGAGGATGAGAGAAGAACAGGCAGGTGTGCAGCAAAACACAGAATAACTCCAGCTTTGTGTCTTTTTTTCATTCTAGCTGAATTGGTTAATCCAACCTTTCGTTGTTTATACCGTTACAAAAACAAGCAAACATAAAAATGAAAAGTCACCATCGGTCCACCGGGCAAATGTATGCCCAATGGCCAGTCCAGCTATGCGGTCAGCTGGTGGGTAACAGGCATCTCCGAAAACGTTTAGAGCACTTTTGCAAATATGCGATGTCTTGATAATTTGAGCAGATATTTGAAGTTTACACAGCACCATTCTTGCATGAAAATATCTTTAAAGTTTATTTGTGACCCAGAAAGAGTAATATTTCAAACTCCGCCACTCTGTGTTCCTCCGCCACTGCCTCGTTTGAGTTTTGGACGAAATGGATTCTGGGATACTGCATTTCGTCATTTTGAACTGATTGGAGACCAAAACAGCCAATCAGGGTTTTTTGCATCCAAGTCTGTGATTGGCTGGTTTTGTGGTACAACTATAACGGTGTACAGAAAGAGCTGAACGCACACGGGAAGAAATGTTGAGAGCGCAAGCAACACATTGCGAGCAAGCGCAAATGCAAAAACTGAGCGAGAGGGGCTGCTGTTTGTGTGTGTGTGTGTGTGCATGGATAATAGCAAACACTGAAATACATTTTTTGCACACAGCGATTACCTTTGTTCACTCAAATTGATCTTTTCTTCGCTCAAAATAAATTTCTCCTCAAAATGCAACACATGCACCTGCAAAATGTTTTTACGTGCGCTCAAATTTTTTTACGTGCGCTCAATTTTTTTTTACGTGTGCTCAGAATAGTGGCACAAAAATAACGCCATACTAAACAAGTAAAGGACGATCTAACAAGGAAAGATACATGCCCAGCATTATATCAATCACAAGACAGCCTCCCCCTATCTAAAAAATGTCTTTATTATCTATATTGTGAATATTCACAAAACTAACACTGAAACATGTGACTGATATCATAAACCTATCCAGAAAATGAGTAGTAAGGGCATGAGGAATAGCTCAAGTTAGAAAGAGAGTATTTTTTTCATATAAATCTTTTTACAAGAGGACTCATCTGCTGTCTGTTAGAAATAATGTAGGTTCAAGGCACTTTGCATTGGCTTTACTGTTCAGATTCGTAGACAGATTCATCCTTTATGTATTCTTTGTTTGTTTTAATTTCAGGGTTTAGAACCCCACTCAAAGTTTATGCAGAAAGATGAAGAAGTAAAAGGTTTTCATTGCTATATACTAGTGATGCTATTGATTGTACCTAAGCAGTGATGATCAGCAGATCACCCTAACCTCAAAGGTTCATGGTTGCCCATGAATAACCAATGAATAGAGGGACATACAAAAAATGAAAACTGGCATTACTATAGTTATGCCAGACTTATTATACTTCCCTCTATTATATTGAGTGAGTAAAGTAAAAAGTATTAATAATGTGCTCATAAAAACACAAAAATATTTAATTATATTTAAGCTATGTTTTTTTAGTTGTATTGTTGTACACACACACACACACACACACACACACACACACACACACACACACACACATACAGGTATTTACCAGGTATGTCTCTTTTGGCACATATCAGCGATCTTTTCCATTTCCTCCCTCACTGCTAGCCTGGTGGGGGCCTCTAAGATAACTAACAATGACGCAAATTCTTCCAGGGGGCTTTTTAATGTTTTACAAGGCCAGTGCTTCAAAATGTATGAAGGCACTCAACGTGAGCAAGGAAACTAAATAAAGTGTGTGATGCAATGCAGGACGGCCTACCAGGAAAGTGACTAGCAGCTTTAACAATGCCTGAGTGCACTCAAATGCCTGAGCCATGTAGTGGAACTCAATGAGATGCTGCCTCATTTTGGCTCACTGGGGATTTGTGAGACTGCATGTGGCAGTGGGTAATGTAGGTGATTCAACTCACTTGCACTGGCCTGTTGTATGGCTCTGAACTAAGGACAGACTATTGGTGACTGAGCTACAACTAAGCTTTGACCTTGCACAGCGAGACAGCAAAACCCTGTTTTTTTTCTTAATTTGTAGGTTTTGCTTGTAGTTCTTATTGAAAGTGTATCATTTGGCTGTTTATGTTATCAAGCTGCTACTGTTCAGGATATTTTTCTAATATTTAGCAACTTCCAGCTTCTGAACTAGCTTGTGTTAAACAAATTTTCTCTTTATATTAATCCTAGCAAACTTTGAAAATGGTTACATTTTTACAAAGTTACTATACGATTTTATAAGATTGGCTCATAACTTATTTTTTATGCAGTGAAACCAATTTTCAAGTTTTTTTGTCACTTTTTCAAGCTACATTAATGTTGCATGAAGATGTTTCAGATATGCCCTTTAAAGTGGAATACCCCATAGTAATAATAAAATTTACAATAGAAAAAGTGCCAACAGCCATTCTCTCTCAGCCCACCCTTTTCTCTTTTACTCGCCTCCTCAGTCATTCGTTCACACTCTGCTTGAGATCTTTGAATAGATTAAGTGCCACAGAGCAGAGTGAGCATGTGTGTATGTGAGGTTATCTGCTTGAGTGGATGCAAGTTTATTTTAGAAGAACATCAAATGTGATCCTCTGCTGCCCTCTATATTCTGCTGTAAATGTGTTTGTGTGCTCCCTTCAGAAAAATATGAGCTCATTAACTGCGTTCAGCTCATGGATTTACAGAGAAATGTCTAACACTGGGTTGATTAACACCATGGGGACGTGGTGCATGTCTCCCTTCTACTCTCTTTCACAACTGTCAAGTGTGCTCAGTGTGACCCTGCTTTCATCTGTATCTGTGGCCTCCACCTACAAAGCCGTTCCCTTTTTTGGGGTTGCCTCTCCGGTGCACCGTTGTCACTTTCATTTGCACCAAAGTGGGTGAAATTGATTCACAGTGGTTTATGCTTCCTAACTGAACGCAGTGATATCTCTGAAGTTTGACTGATTTTGACCACTGTGACGAAGAAGCATTCTCTTCATCATTTTTAAGCTGCGTTTTATTTAAAAAATCCCTTTACTTTTTAGAATTTCATAATGTTGCCTTAGCTACTTACCATTAGGTAACATCTACATGTTCGTCTGTATTTCAGCGTCTCAGGCGGAGTCTTCCCCCAGGATTACTTAGGAGAATTTCATCAACTTGGACCACAACCACATCAGCTACAGGGCTGCCTACCATCGAGCCAGGCCCTGTACGCAGAGACCGCTCAGCCAGCAACAAACACACTACAGAAAGGTAACACGTCTTACTCAGAAGGTTTAACATTACTGTCATTTCTTTATCTGACTTTTCTCCTCCAATAAACCAGTGATTTTTGGAACAACTCAGTGATGATGACCATCTCAAAGAGTCGCTCTATGTCTGCCTCCTGTGCTGCCTCTGTCACATCCAACCACCTGTACAGCAAACCACTGGGAAGACCAGGTGTGTGTCTGTGAATCTATTTTACTGCAGAGTGTAGAACATTTCAGTTATTTTGGGTAAAAACAAAACAAACAAACAAAAAAAGCGAGTATTGATTTACAATGCAATCTTTTTCAGGTTTCCCTCCCTCCAACATATCACCTCTGGGCTCTCCTTGCTCATCTCCTCCTGTCCAGGGCACTCCTGCCTCCAGCCCTACGATAAAAATATGTTCAGTGCAGCTTCCTGAGCCGGCTGGGCCACTAACAGAGCTAGTACCTGGCTCTGTGGCCCCCAAAAGCCACCACAGAACCTTAACTCACAGCCAGAGCGCTCCGAGCTCCACCACCACTCACTGGCGGCCTCCATCACTCTGCGGCAGGTAATTTACACGCTATCACATACTAAATCAGTTATTTACTTACAATATATAGAGCGATTCTGACCGCAGAAAATTTGATTGTACAATTTATGTGTCATCTGCGTGTGAGTGGGGGAAATTAGTCACGTCATTAGTTTGCTCTGAGAATAAAGCAACATCCAAATTACCAGATGAGAGAGATCAATTAGGATGGACCGGTGTGTATACTCTGAATGCTTGTGTCTCTCTGCTCTCCGTTAGCTGTGGCAGGCCGTACAACAATCGACTAAACAACGGGGTAGAGTCTGAAGACAAAGGAGACAGAATACCCCACCCAGGTAATAAAGTAAAAAAATACATATTTTTCTGTTTATTCCAGATACAAATTAGAGCACAACTGATATTTCAGCAGATATCAGTTGTTTGTCAATCTACTGGTGTCGGTATTTACAGCAGCCAATAAATGTAAATTGAAAAAGTAAAGAAGAAACAACAGAAACACCCTTCAGTTATATACAGTTGCATAGTTTACGACATTCAAGCAGAATGTAAACAAGAAATCCACCACTCGTTATGGCAATAAAAGAGTTTGTTTTTGACACAAATTTTAGTAAGGATTCATAAATTTGTTTGTTTCATGTGTCTGAAACAAAAACATATCGGCTTACATATCGAGGTCTTTTAAGGTCTCGACCTTAAAATAATCTTATATAAGGCAGGATCTAAATCAAGGGCGCTTCACCTAGGACAGCTGAAGTTTTGGACATTTGGATTTTGATTATGTTTTCATGGAGTCATTATAAAAAAAAGGTCTTATAGTTAACATTAACATAGGATTAACTCCAGTTTTTAGTTAAACAGAAACATCTTTGTGTTCTAGTGATAATGTATTCTCAACAGAAGAAACACGTCTGTGTTCACTTCTAATGTGTTTAGTCCTTTTTAATGTGTCAAATCCAATGTGGCCATAAGTACTAGTGTGATTATTAAAGCTACCTTTCTAAATCGTGTCATGTTTTTCCAGATGAACGCGCAGTAGCATCATCAGACTATGATAGCACGTACGACAGCACCTATGAGACCAACCACAGTGACAGCAGCGACTTTGCACAGAATGAAGAGGAAGCAGAGGGAGGCAAGAAGCCTCCTGAAGCAAGGGAAGGTTGCAGGGAGTATCCGAATGACGGCATTGTTCTTCACCCTGTCCTGCTCTCTTCAGAGGTAGACAATCAGACCTCACTTAATGTCCTTCCCCCAAAATAATTTCATTAAGAAGGAATAATTGAATCGACAATAAGAGCAGCACTACATCATTTGCGAATTATGTGAAACCATCTTATGATGTCATGAGCTAGCTATCCTCTATTAAGCAGCAACTATCTTTGAAAGTTACTTTAAAAAAGCTGGTTTTGCTTTAACAATATAAGTCAATGAGGCACAAAACAAATTTCCCACGTGTGGGACTAATAAAGGTTATCTTATCTTATCTTATCTTATCTTATCTTATAACATTACGGTCACCTGTCTAATATTGTGTTGTTCCACCTTTTGCTAGCAAAACAGGCCTGACCGAAGGTGTGCTGTGGTATCTGGCAACAAGATGTTAGCAGCAGATTCTTTAAGTCCTGTAAGTTGCCAGGTGGGGCCTCGCAACATCCTACAAATGTTCGACTGGATTGAGATCTGGGGAATTTGGAGGCCAAGTCAACACTTCAAACTTGTTGTGCTCCTCAAACCATTAATGAACCATTTTTGTTTTGTGGAATGATGCATTATCCTGCTGAAATAGGCCAGAGCCATCAGGGAATACCGTTTCCATGAAATGGTGTACATGGTCTGCAGCAGTGCTTAAGTAGGGAACATGGATTTCAGTATCCTGGTGCCAGGTGTTCCAAAGTAAGCAACAGGCATTGATTTACAAAGAAAACATGACTCATCAGACCTTCTTCCATTGCTCTGTGGTCCAGTTTTGATGTTGTTGGAACTTTCAGCAGTGGACACTCTGACTGGTCTACAGCGATGCAGCCCATACGCAACAAATTGCAGTGAAATGTGTATTTCGAAGCCCTGCGACAGACTGGCGACCTGTCCAGGGTGTACCCCGCCTTTCGCCCTATGACAGCTGGGATAGGCTCCAGCGCCCCCCGCGACCCTGAAAAGGATAAGCGGAAGCGAATGGATGGATGGATGTGTATTTCGAAACCAACATCAGCATTTTGAGTTACAGCAGCTCATCTGTTGGATCAGACCACACTGGCCAGCTTTCACTCCCCACATGCATCAATGAACATTGCCCGCCGATGACCCTGTGGCTTGTTCACAGCTGTTGCTTCCTTGTATCACTTTTAATAGATACTGACCACTGCAGACTGGGAGCACCCCACAAGTGTCATAGGTAGGACCCAAACGTGGGCCTCACGGAGCACAACGTGAAAACTCAAAAACAGGTTTATTGCTTTGAAAACTTAACCAAAACATGAGGCAGGAACAAACCATCTAAACTGGGAAAAACATGAGCAGGAAGAAACACACTTATCTGACTGATGTGATGGGGGAAGCAAAACTGAACATCATACACACGAGAATGAAAAGAACTAAATAAAACAGGAAGTAAAAACACTGAGACCACAACTAAGACGTGTGAACTTGACACAGCGATTGGAGAATAAACACACAGAGACATGACTGACTGGGGGGATGAAGAAAGGGAACAAAAACATGATAACTAAACACTGACTTACCCAATAAGGAACACAGACTGGAAACAAAGAGAAACTAACATAATCAAACAAGAAACTATGAACCACAAATAGACATAATGAAACTCAGAGGCACTAGGAAAAAATGAATAAATAGAAGACTATGAAGCTCCAAACCAAAACTCATCTTAACCAGAACGAACCAAAAACCCTATAGAACAGTGAGAACTATAATACAAAGATAACGAAAAACAATGAGAAAAAAGACAAAAGTGTGGGTCGACGAACCAAGGATCATGACATCAAGAGCTGCAGTTTTGGAGATGCCCTGACCCGGTCTTGTAGCCAACACAAGTTCGCCTTTGTCCAACTTGCACTAATCCTTATGCTTTCCCATTTTTCCTGCTTCTTATGTAAAAGGCTCACATGGCCCCTAATATATCCCACCCACTAGGAGGTGCCACGACGAAGAGATAATCAGTGTTATTCTCTTCACCTGTCAGTGGTCATAATGTTATGCCCGATTACTGTATGTCTACAGAGTGCATTAAGTAAACCAATATTCCTACTGTTGTGTCACTGTGATGACTGAAATTTTTAAGTCCTAAAGGTTATTTTACCTTACGTCCAAATATTTCTTTCACCACCCTGAACTTCTCTTTGTTCACTTACCTTTGCCTGACAGGACAAGCCAAACTTGGCCCCAGAGACTCTGTTAATGCCAGGGCTGGAGCCTCTAATGAGTCAGCTTAACAACTGGAACTTTCCCATTTTTAGTCTTGTGGAGAAGACTCACGGCAAGACGGGCTGCATCCTCAGCCAGGTAAATACTTTGTTAGTGAGGAAATGTTGCAACTTTAATGAAAACAAATGGTCATTAATTCAATAAACAGGAACTCATATTGTTAAGATTACATTTGCAGTAGACTTATGTAATTAGCAGCTTAACTGGATAAAGATGTTAGCTTGTTAATGCAGGTGGTGGAAAAATGAATTGATTTCTAATATGCATGATTTGATATCCAGGTGATTCACTGTAGTGTGTGTTTTCCTCATGGTGGCATCTCCCAGGTTTCTTATAGGCTGTTTGAGGACACAGGTCTGTTTGAGACCTTCAGGATTCCTGTGCGAGAGTTCATGAACTACTTCCATTCTTTGGAAAATGGATACAGGGACATCCCTTGTAAGTAGAAGGATCACATATTTAAGAAAAAAACAAAAAATGATCCATCATTACCTTTTGCTGCCACAAGGTGGATGTGTTGCTCATGAAATAAACTTTTAATAGCGTGTCTATTTTTCCTGCCTGCTGTTTACTGTGCAAATATATACTGAAAATGTGATGACACGAGCTTGAATTTATAGTGTGACAGATTAGATTATTTGAAGGAATATATTGTAAAATAGCTCCTAATCAAATACAAATAGATTTTAGCCTTTCTCTCAAAGCCTCCACAGGGTACATCAAGAGGGAATATTTTTACATGTTTGGGAATACTATGGATAAAGCCTACTTAGAGGCATCAATATCCATCTCATACATATGTGACGTTAATCAAACTATATCAGTCTTGTTGTCTATTTGTGACCCAGATTTTAAGCCATTGTTTGAATTGGCAGATTTACTCATAGCACTTCATTCATTATGCGAAAGACTGTGACCCAACATGTTTACAAGTTGTGTTCTTATTAAAAAACCTTCCAGTGAAACTTAATTAATCAAATCAATCAATTAATAAGTGTTTATTTTATATGGATTTTTATGTTACATCTCCATGTCTTCCATGGATTGTAACATTGTTTTTCTGTAAAAACGAGAGAAGTCGCTTCATCAGCCATGCACTGATGCAGTAGTAATCCATAGTATACAGTATACTTATATGTATACCAACTTTACATATTATATCGCCAATATATTTTAAAAGGACACTGCTTGCATTGAGGCCCAATGAGGTGACTACCGTGATTGAGGGTATTTAAAACTAGTCAAGCTGGGACTTTTCCACTACGCTCTTACCACCCACACTGTTGTGAATCAGCACTTCATTTTACTCTCCTCAGATCACAACCGGATCCATGCTACAGACGTGCTGCATGCTGTCTGGTACCTCACCACTCAGCCTGTGCCAGGACTGCCCACCCTGCTGACTGAGAACGGAGTACACACTGGTGCGCTGTCTCCTACGCATACATTAATCTTCCTGATATTTCATGCAAAAAAAAAAATCATAATTTTAATTCCCGTCTGCCAGACTCTAGCAAGCCTGTTTCCACGTTGGTGTAAATCTTAAAGCTTAAGACACTCATAACTGTACCTAGACTGTACAGGACAGATATTCAGTCAGAGGATCAAAGTGCATAGATTGAAAATTAAGCTGACAATTTTGTTATTTATGCATTAATAACTTCTGTCACGAGGGACCAAGCTGAATAATTAGGACATACATTTAGTCGTTCTCATGGGTCCTGAACCAGAGCTAATGCTCACAACTTAACTAGATGTCGTCCTCAATTTTTATTCATGCTTGTTTACAAGTTTTGGACGGCATCACAAGTGCAGTGTGATAGCAAAATTACCCAGATATTCCCATATTTATTTTTATTGAAAGTAATTTTTTAAAATTATTTTTTCCTCCTGTTTGGTCAATGGCAAGATACTAAAAGTTAGTGATAATGCTGGCATGTCCTGCAGAATGAAGTAGACTTGCAGGCAACATTTGAGAGGAGCGATCAGAGGTCAGAGTCACTGATAGTTTGCCTGTGTTGTCTCTTTGGATGTAGACTCACAGAACGGCATTACACCTGGTGCCACAGGATTCCTGGTGTCCAAAATGAACCCTGTGCTGCAGGAAGGCTATGGCTGCCTGGCTGGTCTTATCCCTGCCCTGGAGCTCATGGCCCTTTATGTAGCTGCTGCCATGCATGACTATGACCACCCTGGAAGAACCAATGCCTTTCTAGTAGCTACCAGTGCACCACAGGTAAATAAATACAGGAAAATGTTTGTGACCTGGAAGGCTTGAGGGAGGAGCCGTAGTGATGGCTGGATAGTGATCAATAAGACTGACGGATGGGAAAGTTCATTTACTGGGAAGCTAAAACTGGGAATGGAGTAGTGAAATGTCATCAATAAGGTCGCCCTGAGCGTTGTCCACATCAAGTTGTTGTGTGGATATTCATTAACCAAGTCCCTTCAGCAACTATACTGATCTTAGAATACTAACTGACTGAATTATTAGTTATGTGATAGTAATTAATGTTTTAAGGTAGATAAGCTCACAAAACTGAATGTCAGTAAGACGTCTTTTCATTAAGTTTGTGTTTATGAAATGCTCCAGAGAGATGATAGGCAGCATATTACCAGTATTTGTTTATTATGAGCAGTGTAAACCTTTATGACGGTTCAGATGTAATTATGATGAGATAAGGAGTAATGTAAGCTGTCACATTAACTGCGCTTTGAGCTAAAATCTGCTTGTTTTGCTTATAATTAATATGAATGAAGCCGCTTATCCTGTTATCAAATGTTGTTACAAGAGCGTAAATGGTGTGAATATAAACGTACATAATGCTCAGACATGAGTACTGTTGTTAAAGAGCTTTAAATGAACCAAATACAAACATCAACATACAGCCAAAAGCAGATTAAGTTGTTAGTCTAAGCAGTTTACAGTTGAGACTGAGGCAATGCAGATACTGCAGGTTTTAGGCAACATTATGGTAAAAAAGAAAGCCAGAATTAGCATCAACAAAAAAACGGATTCTTGTCAAAGTTTTGATTCATGTATGAGTTATTTTTATTTTTAGATTTTGGTGTACCAAATCCTACCTTAAAACCTAACATGTAATATTAAACATGGTTTAGTAAGCGACTCATTACTAAACTGGGAAGATTCATTCATTGACAGATATGAAATATTAATTTAAGTTTCTCCTTCTCCATTTTAGGCTCTTCTTTACAACGACAGGTCAGTCTTGGAAAACCATCACGCAGCTGCAGCTTGGAACCTCTTTATGTCTCGATCTGAGTATAACTTCCTGGTTAACCTTGAACACGTCGAGTTCAAGCGCTTCCGCTTCCTAGTCATTGAAGCTATCCTGGCCACTGACCTCAAAAAGCACTTTGACTTCCTCGCAGAGTTTAATGCCAAGGTAAATCAAATAAGCTACATAAACAGTATAAAACATGACCATCCATCATTCGTCTGTAATTACAATGCTGTTACTGACTCGACTTGATATTTGAATGCAAACTATGATGTGATATTTAGAATCCCCATTTAACAGTTCAAATTTCTAAATGTTGCCAATACAAGCAAGACACAGAATTTAAAGCACAGTTTTAACGATAAACATTTTAACGAGACTTTTTATGAAACTTTGACCTTATCTGACCTTGAAGAAGAGCTCAGAGGTCAAACGTGACACATTGTAAATCCTTAAATGGTACTTTCTATATATTGACAATACACGTTTTCCACCAACAACTTATTAAATTTTACCTTGAAGACCTTTATAATCCAAATTCTAATGGATTGTTAACGTCACAATAATCTACACGCCTACAAAGTTTTATTAGAAATCATTCAAAAATTTTGAGCTATCATGTATATGGACAGAAAGAGTGATACACACATGCAAACACTACCAAAATCATAACCTCCTTGAAAGAGATAATAAACATTTACTGCAGGCTCTTTTCATTTTTTTTCTGTAAAGGTCTCTTTCTGAAGTAACAGAGAATGTCTTTTTTTCACATTGTCTTAAATGCAAGGTCTATAAACCTTTCTACAACTAATCTATAAGCTCTGTTTTTGTTTTTGACAAAAACATCTTTCTAATTCCTTAGGTAGGGGATGAAGGAGTGTCTTGTATTGATTGGACCAATGAGAATGATCGATTGCTAGTGTGCCAGATGTGCATCAAGCTCGCTGATGTCAACGGGCCACTGAAGTGTAAGGAGCTGCACCTACAATGGACAGAGGGGATCGTCAATGAGTTCTATGAACAGGTATGTTCATGAAAATGTCTCCAATATATTCAGAGCGCAGTTTTGTTAAGTGTTCCCTTAAAAATAACTGCTTTCTAAATGTTCAGCATTTCACATAAAACTAACAAAACACAAAAAAACACAAGAATTATTTCAAAAAGAATTATACCAAAATATTCTTTCTTTAACTCTACACTTGCCCAAATCTTTAAATTTAAACAAAAAACAACTTAATAAAATAAACCATTTATTACTTATATATCAGTAATGGTTTAACACAATAAAACTCTACCTAAAATCCAGTGTGATCAGACTGGATATTTTGCTAAAGCCTAACTTGTGTGCCAAAGTACAAGCAATTGCCAGATGCCAAAAACCAAATAGTTATACAAAAAACTTTGAAATACAGGAAGTGCTGTGATGCACAGGAGCGCCTCTAGTAGTGTTTTCACTGTCATCATTTGTAAATAAACCAAAGTCCTGTTAGGAGTGGCTGTTGCAGAACGTTTATTAGATCATTAATGAGAGATATGAGGTCATTTTTTTGTAATAGATTACTAACATAGTTTATGTATGATAAATATCTCAGTATTATTTCCATATTTCAGTCACATGAAAAATTATAAAGCTATGACAAGTTAAAACTATTTTACATTCAGGGATTAGGAGTTATTAATTGTAATTCAAGCTAACTTTCTGTACAAAAACAATACTTATTGTGTTTGATGTCACTGTTTTACTAACGAATCCTGTCAATATCAAACAATATCTTGTGAGAGTTAACCAAAAATGTTCTCATCTACAGCCTTATCAGTGATAAACACAATGTGATTTTCAGTGAAGGAAAATCCAAACACAGAACATTCACAGGAGTCAGTCAACATGACAAATAAATCCAGTGGGCAAAAAAGAGTAAAAAAAAAAAAAATCTAAAAACAGAGGTCAGAGTTCACACAGAAGAAAACAAGGCAAGACAGAAAACACAACAAACACTAAGAATTCCCGGAAACCTTCCAGATTCCTAATTTCTTTCTAAGTACATTCTTCATTCCTTTCTTTGAATCCTCTTAACGTCTTAGCCCTTCTGCCAGACATGTGAGTAGAGGAGGCGAGTAAGAGACACGGGGAGTCAGTCAAGGAAACAGGCATTTAACTAAATGAGACATCCTGGCTTTGGAGTCGGATTTTTAAAACAATGTCAAGTAAATATGATGTTTGGCATGGCGGCATCCTAAATTGTTTTGGTGCAGACCAACTACTGCTGTGTTTCATTATTTCAGATGTCATTCAAGCATAACAGTGTGCTTCACAACTTTATTATTGAGGCCATCTTTCAAATAAATTGACATTGTGTCAAGATATCATACCTTTTTCTTTTATCAAACAAATACACAAGTAGTGAACTGAACAGTTCCTAAAATAACTTATTTGTAGATCCCTCCTCCCAGTGTGGTTTGTGTATTTCAGCAGTTTAGCACAGAGGTAACAACACTTCCACAGAAAGGATACACCTGTTGATCCTTCGTTACATCTGCTCTGGCAAGCTTTCTGTCTCCTCAATCCTCTGTCCTTCAAATTCATTTTAGGAACTGAGACAGTCATGTAATGAGATTGCTGTCCAGGTCACAGGCAGGGGGACGGAAAAGACGAGAAAAGAGGAAAAGTCTCTTGACTACACAAAGTAGCAAGACAATGAGGCAGGGAATAAAGGAAACTGGGAGAGTGACATTACAGAGGTGACAGGAAATTGGAAATTAAAGCTAAGAAACAGACACAATGAACTAAACCTTTAAAAACTTCCAGTATGCATGAAAGGCATTTCATTTCTTGCCCCTAGAACATTTCTCTAAGGTATAAATGTGTAGCCACATGTTCCCTCTGACAATAACTGAATATTGAAAACATTTACCTATTAGCTCATGTATTTATTACAGCCGCTGTAGATGGATGCCTGGCAACAAATCCTGCTATAAACTCACAAGACCATAAAGATAACAAGCAAGGATTTTGTAGACAGCATAGCACTAATTTGAAAACTTTATTTATTTCTCAGCGGTACCCACAATATAAATTCCTCTCAAATCAGGTCTTTATGTTAGACATACAGGCTGGGACAGAAGCTTGTTATCACAAGGTTGCTTTGACAGCCACCAAACTTAGCATCAGAATGTGTATTATCTATTTAATCCTTTTTAATGAAGGGAAAACTCAGAGAAAGGATATCAAACCAGTGTTCAGCAGCGAGAAACCTCTAATCTGAACATTGCTGATTCCCGAGGAAAGCGACATGCCTCTCATGTCTGCTGCTTAGCATTCTGGTGTTCCTCTGGAAGCTTTGGCTCAGTTGTCTTAAAAAACTTTATGGATTATGTAAGTCCTTTGAGTGACAGCATCCTGGGGGGATGGGGGTTGGGGGTGAGAGACAGGGTGGCGAGGGACAGAGCGTATGCGCATGCTTTGCTTTCATAGAGGCGCATGACCTAAATGTGCCATCCTTTGACAGCACTCATTCACAGTCGCACTGAGGAAGATCACAAGTGGAACGAGGCTCTCTGTGACATCAGAGTCAGCGCAGATATAAACGCACACACACACACAAACATGCGTGAATTTTCATCATGCACTGCAATGCACCAATTTAATATTCTACACTTTAAAAATACTCACTTAAAACAAAGTTTCTCTGTTTGATTGTGCCGTGTCTATAAATACACACACACACACACTTTTCACACACAACCACTAGTGCGGTGCACTGACGCCATCCAGGTTTCTGGTTTCCATAGCAATTGGAGCTCTTGGCCCTCTGTCCTCCCGGTGAATAGCTTTGAAAGCTCTAACATCATATAACAAACATAAAAGCACAGTACAGGACTGTCACGATGTATTAAAATACAATACAAGCTGTGTGGTCGTGGGTAATCCAACACAAACCACACGATTTGGGGCAGATATGACTCCGCTTTGGTTTTCTTTATGTGGCCTCCATTTACAGTATACGACTGTTACATAGATAAATACTTAAACAAATCATAATTACAGTTTATCTGATGCGGAGTCGTGCACCCAATCTATACATACACAGCAAAGATAATTAGATTTGTGTCTGCATTTACTGGTGGTGACCATGTGGTTACAAATATAAAGATCACAGTCACCATTACTCTGGAAAATTTCTGCAAGCAGCCTCATTTGGATGACTGATACATACAGATCGGCCATAGTTTGAACTGATGTTTTTCTATTTGTAGTCTTCTTGACCTACTTTCAAGAGACTGTGCCCAGAGGCAGCATATCTGGAAGTTTCTGTGCTTGCCACTTGAGTTATACAGAAGACTAGATGCATAGCTGTGTTTACCTTTGAGTGATATCGTGTTTAATTCATATATTGATTTATTTTAATACAGAAATTAGTTTATGCTGTGTAAAAGCCCTTATTCTCTGCCATCTTTAAAAATGTACAGCTCTTGAAGGAGAGAGTGCAAGACACATCATTTATATTTAATAATTCCTGTTATTCTTACGTTTTCATATTTGTACTCTGCCAGGGCGATGAAGAATCATCCCTGGGCCTTCCCATCAGCCCGTTCATGGACAGGTCTGCTCCACAGTTAGCTAAACTGCAGGAATCATTCATTACTCACATCGTGGGACCACTGTGCTCCTCCTACGACTCAGCTGCTCTTATGCCGGGACACTGGGTTGATGAATCTGAGGGAGACCAGGAAGGACAAGATACAGAAGAGGAGGATGAGGATATGGCAGATGAGGATGCATCAACAAGTTCTGACACCTCGCGTATGTCAGTCTCTTGATTATTCATGTTGTAGGGAATACCTAACGTATGTCGCTGAATCGTTCCTGTGAGTATTCACTGCATGGGAGGACATGTTCCAGGATAGACTTTCTGTCATTATTTTTGACTCATTTATCGACATTTAATGCAGCTAGTTTCTGCTGCTGTGATAGATGCAAAAAAGACACACAGTATTAATAGTTGAGAACACTATTAATTACTACACATATTCCTAATGGGATAAATAGTTATCATTTGCTTTCTTGCAACAACAAGTGCAACAGTTATCATCAGCATCTATAATTTATTATTTGAAATTCCAGTTCTTTTGATTTTCATATATATGATGCTCATTTCATCATCCCCCTGCAAGTGCAATGTTAGTTTCTCTTTTTACAGTAGTTACGTGCATCACGCTCCCTTTATTCCTGTAAGTAAAAATAAAAAAAACAAACAAGGAAACCACAGTACTCTTAAATTTTGCTTTTAGCACAAAAATAATATATGTGTGTATATATATATATATATGTTAATTATCTCACTGTAAAGGTGCAGACTCACTGTTTTCCTGTTTCATGCCTTTCTCGTAACGCATGTGTAAAATGAATATGATTCCTATCTTGTAGCTCTCTGCAAGAGAGCAAATGACCATGTTTCCCGAAAATCTTCTATTTCTACTCTTTTTCAATCCCAGAATCTTCTCTAACTGTTGGTTTTCTGTCTGACAGAGCGGCAAGAAGCCAAAAAGGTGAGCAGGAGGAAAGTGTTTTGCCAGATCACACAGCATCTTTTGGAAAACCATGAAATGTGGAAAAGAGTGCTTGCTGCAGAAGCCCAGGAGGAGGCTCAGGAAGAGAATCCAAACTGCATTGGCAAGCCCACCGATCCAATAACAGCCATTCACGAGGAAGAGGAGGAGCAGGCAAGCAAAGAGGAGTTGACTGATGGCCTTAATGAAAGGGAAGAGGTGCCAGCTATAGAGGAAGAGGAGATCTTTCCACAATTGGACACTTCAGGAGAAAAAGAGGAAGAACCTGAGTGAAATGATGAACTCTGACCTCCTCTTAAACCAGGAATCTGAACGTTGTCCAAAACGTTTTTGGGTTTTTTTGTTTTTCTTTCCTAACTAAACTCTTTATATGGTAGCCAGCACATCACTTTGACACAACACTGTAGAGGATGTTTTGGGTAAAATGTGCCTAACAAAAACAGGGTTGAGGACAGGGATAAACTCGTACCCAGTGCATCTGACGAGGAGAGAGATGTGAGATGAGCAAGAAGATGAAGCGACAAATGAGGGAAAATAGAGAAAAACTCAGACTGAGTAATCAAGATGGAGTGCATTTGTTTGTTTTGCTGTTTGTTTTAGTTTGGATTTGGCACCCAGACTGCTCATCTTGCACTATGGGCCAACCACGCTGATTCACATCTTCACTCCACCAGTGAGTAATACACTGTCACCCCGCTCCCCCCCTCCCACACACACACTCCTGTCTTTAGTTCCCATGCTATCAGCACACTTTGGAGCCACGCAGCTGCTCGAGGATGTGCACCAGGCCCCTTCTCCGTGAACACAATGGGATGAAAGCCAGCGGAAAAGCCGTGTCCACTGAGCCTCTGCCACGTGAATTTCAGGAGGAGATTGAAAAAAAGAGCCAGTGGTCATGCATTGTGTACACACACTTCACACAGACACACACAGTGCTATAGCAGAAACACACTCCATGCTCAGAACAGATAGGAAGTTTAACAAAGAACTCTGTTGCACCAAAAGCTTTATTCTCATTCAAGGAAAAACATACAAAGCAATGTTTTGTTCTTGTCAAACAATGTTAGTCAGCAATCATTTCTCCCTTTCTTTTGTTATAATTGGTTCAGCGCACCTACACGTTTCCAGTCTGCATAACTCAGGAAGGCAGAAACCCTTAGAGATCGAGAAACAAAAAAAGGACCTCTAGTGTTCTTGTCCTTTTAATTGTCACTGCTTCTGCCTTTTTTGTCACTTCAGTGCGTCCCCAGCAGAGTGTGGTTCTCTTTGTGCAACACCTAATGCACATTAATATTAATCACACTACAGCTAACTCTCAAGAAAGAAACCAGTCGGTAATATAAGGTGTTTTCATATTGCAAGCACATATAATCTGTGCCCACATTTATGGGACCTCTCAACTTGGATCAATCTTTAAGGGATTTGTTAAAGAGAAGAGATTCTGTTTCTCTCCAGTGTAACTTCTAGGCTGGTATGTAGGCCAAATGTTTCAGAAAGTGCAGTAATCCGCCATAGTGGACTAGGCCAGAGCTGAGTCACAGCTCCAAATTACCCAAGAAGATTTACGTTAATAAGACATTTCAACACTGTGAGGCTTATTGCCATGCAGGAGGTGCTGTGCGCCCACAAAAAAACTATACATGGAAGCGTATGACCGGGTCCACACGCATAGGGGTATTCTTTCAAACAGGGGTTTTCTTTTGTTGTTCTAAGTAAATAAATCTGATAAAACACCCTTAAAATGTTTCTGTCCACATGAATGCAAAAGCAGTTAACGAGCCAAGAGTCAGTGATGTACATCTACAGTTGCTTAAAATTGCCTCATGTAAACAAAAGATATGATAGCGTGAACTTTGACCTCTCGAGCCAAAAAACCTTTGGAAAGAGTTTAGAAATATCAGCACCATGAAGCCTATCTGTGTTTTGGAGTGACTTTTAATGATACATAGAAAAAGCTGTTAAAATAACTTTAAAGAACTAGTTGTTTCACTTCCATAAAAAGCCAAAGAAAGTTATAGTGGAAACAGTAAGCCCCTTACATTTCTGAATCCAGCTTAATAATTAACCACATGTACACAAATATATGATATTTACTATCTATTTATTGAATGATGTAGTTTACCTACTATTTTTTGAGAGACTATTTCTCTTCACTCTTTTATTAATGTCACTGTTTGCGCTCGTCTTTGATGTCCTTGGACATTCATATTTGCTGTAATGGAAGAAAATGTGTGAAAAAAAAGAACAGCCTCGGTAATGAGGCTTATTAATGGAAGAATCCTTTCAGCTGGACTTGGAGCTGCTCATGAGAGGTCAGAGGGGTCTCAGATCTTTGTCACAGTTCAGCTGATTCTTTCTGGTGTAAGTCTTTGAAGATGAGCCAGTTCAGTTGGATTCAAAATCATGTGATGATCCACTTCTCCAATTCTCCAAACCATATTACAGGGATATGCAGTGTAGTGTATTTGATCTGACGTCAGAAAAGCAACAGGGGCTCTTTGTGGATTGCACACTATTTTATATTATTTTTTAAAAGTCATTGTTAACCCTTTAAAGCCGGTCAGAGCAGCACGCTCCGTTTTGCGTAACTATTTTTAAATCCCTGTAGAACCTGAACCGTGTAAGCTAGCGCAATAATTTGTTTTGCATATGAAACCGGAGAAGTTGTACTTACATCTTATGCCATCAGCTTGTCCTCGGTCACGGTTTCCTTCCACATATAGCTTTGCAAAAATTGCATAAAAAGCGCTTGCAGGAACAAAAACATAATATTCCAGAAACACGCTTTGCCGTTCCTATCAGCTGTTTGTAACACTTCCCACAGTGAAATGATGCACATGCTGTTTTCTTTGCAAATTTGCATCATAGGATTGTTTTTTGTTTTTCCTGCAGTATATAAAAATTGCTGTATCTCCAAAATAAAACTATGAAGACACTCAAAATAAATTTCCTGTTGTTGTAAACTATTTTTTGCAACTTTATTGTATTTAAAGTTTTGAGGGATAAGCCTCTTAAATTTCTCCAAGTAGAAATATATGTAAACAAAACAAAAGCGATTTTCAATTTTTTTTGTAGTTTATTGCACTTTTTTGCAATTTATGTAATTACTATGGACTTAATGCATACATATTATTAAAATATGGGCTATAACAGTTGTATTGATGTTTAGCAACTTGAAATGCTCCCACAAATGGCACTACAGCATGTAAAAAAAAAAAAAAAAGCTCTGGTGGACTTGGTTCTATAGTAGGTCTTAAAGGGTTAAATAAATATCGTCAAATAATCGTGATCTCAATTTCAGTGAAAATAATCGTGATTATCATTTTTGCCATAATCGAGCAGCCCTACAACAATTTCAAATCCCTCAAAGAGTGTAAACAATTTGAAGCCACAGACGTCACGCGTGACAGGCTAGCTTTGGCTTGGCAATTCTACTTGTACCTGAAGTGATTAGACAGGGATTAGAGGAGAGCATTAACAGGGCGGAAACATTTACAATGAAAACAGCAGCGCTGAAATTAAACCTAAAAAGAAAACTGTGACAGAAATATAAAAAGCAGCATTACACTTTTCAGTAAGTGTACACTTTATGCAGTTAGATGTTAAACACTGGATCTCAGTCACTAAGAAATCCATCAAACAGGCTTGTTTGCTTATTTTTACTGGCTACCTTTACTTGTCCTATTGTAACCCAATTTCTTAACTCAATTAGAGTTTTGCTAATACTCTGGTAATACTGTGTAAATCTGCAGCTGTATCCATTGCACTGTTATCAAAATGTCCATTGTGCAAAGGAGGGCTAAACAGTGCAGCATAATTCCCTTTACTGCTTATACCCTGTACTTACAAAGGAGTGCAGTACCACAGCTTCTTTTTTAATACTATGAAAAAAAAGGCCTGCACTAACTAAATCCTGGGCTTTTTGTTCATGTTTCAGTTCAAGTTGAAAGCCCCTTGGTGTTTGAAGTCTTTTTTATTTACAGTTGCTATCACTCAAACTCAAAGAGGGAAAAACTTAATTAGGTTTTCATTAATAAATTATATTTAGCAAAAACACAAATCAAAGCAGAATTACCTTCAGCATTGATGTCAATCACACAAAAGTCCCTGACTAAAAATCTTTTTTTTTTTAAATTTGACAATTAAAAGAAAAAGGAAGAAAAAGTAAAAGCAAATCGATATGTGATTTGTTTGGTAGCAAAAACTGCAGCACTAGTCATATTTGCATATTTGTAGCATGTGCGGCAATCCGCTCTTGGCTTTACGTGTCACTTCCTGGACCAGTCGTCTTCCACTAGCCTTTCTTTGCATTGGCTTGTTCTGATAGGTTCGCTTATAGCAGGTAAAAATGACCTGTACACACCAGCTGATACACAACAGAGCAACACAACTGTAGATCAAGACATTATTTAGGTTTGCAAGCTTTTAAACTTGAGTTTTAAAAAAACATCGACCCACCTCACTGCAAGAAGCTGCAAGCCTCCTGTCGTACACGTGAATGAGCATGAGTGCCATGCGCTGTAAATACCTGATGCACTATAGAGTATATCAGTACCTCACGTATAATCTAATGTGAACGCTACTACATTGGATATTTCATGTTTCACACCTGTATGGTCCCATTCTCCACCTGTGTTTGGGGGTTTTGTAGACTGTTTCAGATCTCTTTACTTTGTTTTCATTTATCAGAAATTTGAAACTTAACAGATCAGTCAAAAGAGAAATTTACCCTTTGGACACTTCAAAGAGACTTAAGTCAAAGCTGTGATATCGTTTCAAGTTGTTATTTAGTTTATTATCATATTCATTTCAATAATCCAAGAACGCTGCAGCGTGTTGCTGTGTAACATTTTAGGGTTTTAACTAGAGATGAATGATGAACCGGTCAAGGTTTCAAGGGTCACGTGTTTTAGCTTCTCACTACAAATCATATTCTTTAATCGTTGCTAACCATATTTCAATAAGGACAGATCACTCGGAAGAACTGAACATAATTTATTGAGAAAGAGGAGTTAATGTGTTTGACTCCGATGAGCCATCATGGCAGAATGGAATCCTAGCAGTGCAAGGATTTAGGACAGGACCCACCGGCGTCTAGATGCTGGTGGTGGCAGTGAAGACTGAGGCTTGAATAGAGCTCTGACTGAAGTGGCTGAGGTGGAGATGGGAAGGAGGTGGTACGCAGGACAGACAGTCTGAAAGGTAGAATGACGGAGAGCACAGATTTAAACCATTCTAAGTGCAGGCTGATTGGCTCAAAGAAGGCAGGCGAGAAGATGATTGGACTATTGTAATGATGTCAGGATTGAGAATGACAGCGTGCGAAAGGGGTAGACGTGTGAAGAGAAAAGCAGCCGAACACCCAGGAAAAGCAGGCAGATGGGTGAATACAGATCTTCCTTATTGAACTAACTTAAGCTTCATTTAAATGTACGCTTTACAGTTTTAGATTTGAGTCTTTCCTGCATTTCAAGGCAGCCGTTGGTTTTGTTTCATATATGCACAATAATTAAAGAAGAAAAATCTGTTAGCACATGCTAGAAATTTACTCGAGGTTGACAACGCATTCAAGTGAGAAAAACAGTTATTTTTGCTAATGTTTTAATATTGTTGAATCCATCATGTAATTTAAATCGAGCTTTGCATTATGTCAAGAAAACTTCACGAAGACCTAATGTTAACTGAGACGTAATAGATAACTTTTAAAACGTTTTGCATAACTAACAGGAAACCAAAGAAAGCCTGTTTTGTGAAACACGGCTGCATTGTGTAATTTAAAGTATACACTATAGCTGATTTGGAGTAAATAGGCCGATACATGGAAAGCTAGCGACATGGTTAGCTGAAGAATCTGAGTAAAAAATTCTTTACTAACACAAAAAATGTCACATCTGTCAGCTTTTTGTTCTTTGTCATCACAGCAGCACTGGTCAGTGATTTGTACCAGGCAATCACATGGCAGTCATAACTCTTATTTTCTCTTAATTGAAAAAAAAAAAACAATATTAGAAATATTAGTTATAAAAAAAGAGAGAAACAAACAAGAAAACTGCAGGGTCACAAACTACCCAGTTATTTCACTTTATAAGAGCCAGCATGAGCCAGTTTCCTTTAAATGTTGAGGGGGAGATTGCCAAACACTGGATGAGCTTGTGCAAACCAAAGAAACTTTTTGAACGATGCGTTTTTTTGTGATTTGCACAGAAACAAGCCCTAAAAGGAGCATGTTTTTGGTCAGTGTTATTCCAATACTGGTGAGGGTATCTGAATATGCATATATATTTTGTTCTGTGAAGATAAAAATGAATTCAAGAATTATTGGTATCCATCTGGCATCACCACCGCTCACGGTGACGTGCACGTTAACTGCCTGTTATTCTTTCACTGCCATGTCAACAGGCACCAGTAGCAATGTAACCGGCCTACTGTTCTGTTCGTAGACTGAAGCTCTTGTACTTGTTTTTTTCTTTTCTTATTTGAACCAACAAAAAAAAACTTTTCTTTTTGTATTGTTTGTTGTTTTGGCCAATTTCAAAGGGGAACATGCTCCTGTGCCATTTTCACATATATGTATGTAGACATTGTTTGAATGCTATATTCGTTAGTTTTCCTCTTTCGTCAGAAAGGAAACCAAAAGTCTTTTTTTCACAACTTTAAGCACGATAAAGGAGACTGGTATGTTTTTATCTACTATAGCAGGCACTTCACAGATTCAATTCTTTCCTTCTCTTTAGTATCTTGCACTTAAACACATGTAGCAATACCAACAGGATGAAGAAAATGTGTGATTCACCAATATTTAAGTGAAATTTGACATTTTATTTCAAGATATTGTTTGACTTTGTATAAAAAATATATACTGTACAGATTCAAAAGTATATTATGACAAAAAAAAAACTTTTAGAAAAATATTTATTTTTACTGTTTTGGAATTTAGACACAATACTGTAGCTCCTCTATTGCCAGACTTACTGGAAGTGCCTCTTGATAATGTATTACAAAATAACTATACAATATATTGGGATTATTAAAACCTGTCACTAGCAGAGCAGTGTTGTTGTTGTAATGTGAATATTGTTGAATAATAACATTTATAAATGCTTCACGTGTGTGTCTTTCTTTGGTCATTTCTCCAAAAACTCACAGGACTCGCTCTTTAAAGAAATACACAGATATGTTTTATTATGGTAATGTGTTTTCTGCATGACAGAAATTTGAATTTATAATTACACTTTAGTCACCGGCCACTTTATTAAGAATACATGTTCGACTGCTTGTGAGCGCAAAGATCGATTATATGACAGAAACTCAGTGCATTAAGGCATGCAGACATTGTCAAGAAAACTTCCTGATGTTCAAATCGAGCATCAAAATGGGGAAGAAATGTTATTTATCTGAATTTGAATGCGACATGGTTATTGGTGCCAGACAGGCTCTTCTGATTGTTTCAGAAACTGCTGATCTGCTGGGATTTATCCAGTGAGCGGCAGTCCTCTGGGTC